GAGACTTAAAACAGTTTTTTATTTGACCAGTTTGAAGGTTCTATACAAAATACTATATAGCCCTGGCCCTTTTGGCTCAGCGGTTAGAGCATTGGCCTGCAGACCAAAGGGTCGTGGGTTCAATTCCCAAAGAAGGACACATATCTGGGTTGCAGGTTTGATCCTTGTGTGGGAGGCAACCAATCAATGTGAGGGACACATCATTGTTTCTCCCACTCACTCCCTTCCACTCTATCAAAAAGTCAATGGAAAAATATCGTTGGGTGAGAATGAATAATAAGTAAGTAAGCAAATAAATCAAATAAGATAGTACATGTGGAGGACATAGATTTGTTCATTTAATTTGCGTGTAAAACTGTAATTTTAGGAATATGGGATTTGGGGGTTTATTTTAATTGATATTATAATCTGTCATAGGCAAGAATAAGACTGTTGGAGGGCTAACACCTCTTTGTGTATTTTTTGTGTATACATATGCACACATACACATCTATATGCATATGTACACTTATGTACATACATTCATATATTTATGCCCACATATGTGTACACATTTGTGTCTATATTTTGAACAAGGGACTCCTGATTATATTTTTACTTGAACTAATTAACTATGATCCTTTGATAACTCTGTTCCATAAGTGAAGATGGTAATATATTGAATATGTCAATTATAACAAAGCATAGTAATAACAAAAATGAAGTATTTGACTCAAATTTGCTATGATAATGGTACAGCTAACATACATAAGAAACAAATCATTTAAACATATAATGATTAATAAACACTGTTTTTGTGTTGTTTTGAAACATTAATTTAGGTAGCCTAAGATAATATAATCTTCTGTCTGAGAATTACATGATTTCTCATTCTTTTGTTGTTTCTAAGTTCTGGAGAGCAATCTGTAACTACCAGAAATAGCCTAGATACACCCACTTGGGAAATATTGTTCTAGAAAAAAAAAATTGCAATTCCGATCGGTGACCACCATAGTAAGCAGCCTTTCATTTTCCTCCCTTCAACCCAGAATAAACATGTCTAGAATATGATTTTTAATCCCTTTTCTACTCAAGGTTTGAGGAGTCCAGATCTTTTCATATTAAATAAAAATTGTTTCCCAAAGACATGGATCATTGGCATTAATAGAAGTGGTATCTCACCACCTTTCTGAAATCTCTTCAAGCCTTGAAACTTTTCTGAAGGTTTAAGTTTGAACAATTCCTTTTTAGTAATTGTGACTAATAAGCATAGTGTTTTAGGATATTGCCATTCCTTGGGTCGGAATAAAGGTTGACTTGGAGTATATGCTACTTTTCTCAATACACACAAATATCTCAGTCAAGTAGTACAGTGGACCTAACTAAGAAAATGAAAACGTACCCTCTGTTAATATGCATATTCTGTGGCTGCAGCTATTTAATTGTGTTTAGTGGGCATTTAATACGGATTGCATTGTGTGAAGAGATGTCTATTCATTAAAAATAGAGACGAAATTATAAGGAATTAGAGTAAAATATTTCCAAATCTTTGTTTTGATCATTTTTCTCTTAATAAAAATTTATAATTTGAAAACTTCTTATTTTTAGGAATCCAGACTTCCTAAAGAAAAAATTAATAAATTTACCTTAATGGTACTTTATCTTTTAAAGGATGGTATGAAATGGTAGCAAAAGTTTAATACCCTATATATATTTATGTTTCTCTCCTAGCCGATACCATATCAATACAACAGTTTCATATTAAACTATTCTTTCTGATTATCTGAAATCATGACAAAGTTTCTGTCCTACTTGATTATTACCATATGCTGTCATTTTCTAAAATAATCTATTTTAAACTTTATTTTTATCTCTCTAAGATATCCCAGCCATTCACAAAAAGTATTTTGGAGTTATTTTTAAGTTCATCTTGGCTTAGGGTTCAGAAAGTAAATTACTTCTCTTTAGAAAATGTAATTTGGAACCTTTGTGACATCACGAAGCATATGCTACATCAAGCATCCTAGTAATGTTTTGAAATGAAGTTGAATATGTAAAATATGCACATAAATAAGTAAAATTTAAGATAATCTTATTAATTATTTATATATAGCATATTTCTATAAAAATATAAGCATCTAATATTTTGTAGAGGTTATTTTTTCATTTTGGTTGAAGAATTTCTTTTTCAGATGTGCAAATACCTCTGAGACATAGGAAGAGTTTTGTCACACCGTGTAGAAAATTCTTATCAAAACAAACTTTTGTTCTCTGGTGGCATGAGGTATATGATATGATGAGTGGTTCTATTTGCTGCCTGTACACTGGTCATTCTAGCAGAGGCCATTTATTAAGGAAACAGATGGGGGAACATTAGTCATATTTTGGACTTTCTGTTTACTATAAAATGTTGGGAGACTTGGATAGCAGAACCAAGGAAACCAAAGGCATCGAAGCATAAGCCAGTTATGAGAAGAGAGAACGGATATTGTCAATTCCAGTGGAAATGAAATATTTATATTACTAAAAGCTTTAGAATAACTTTATTTATTTATTTTTTTGGTAAACTAAAACGAGATCAGTGGATATATTCAAAATATATTTGAATATATTGAGAATTTGTCTCGGTGGGATTTGATATCCATTACGATCCAATTTTTGTTGTTATTGCTCATAACAATTTATATAATATACAAATTTCCAAGAAGTGCAGCTTCTTTAAAATAAGACTTTTTTCTGCAGAAGTGTTCCAAAATATTTTTATTTTATCATTTTTTTACTTGAAGTCTTCCTGCATCCCCCTATTTGACAAATATTTGTATCAGAGTCTAGATGCTGTTAAAGCACAGGGACAATCTCTTTACTTTGTTGACCACAAAAATGTGTGGTGTCTGCCTTTAACAAATGAGAATTATTTTCAGTAATAGTACTAAATCTGCCAGGTAAAATTGTAGAAGGTATTTGGGGAGGTATTTCAATTTTATTTATTGTGTTATTACTTATGATGGATTTAGCACTTACACACAAGTATCTTTTTGTAAGAAGCACTTTACAAATGTCTTTGAGTTTTCCCAATGACCCTGTAAGAAATAGAAATAGAGTATTTATAACCTCCATTTCACAGGTGAAGCTGCTGAAACCACACATTTTTATTCTTATATGTTTAGCTCTTTGAGAGAAATGTCTCTTCAAGTTTGGAAAGTTCACCATTGCTACTCTTCCAAAGGCCAAAAAACAAAGTCTAATAATAGTCTGAATCTGAGTGTATTTATGGTGGTTAGAGGGACTTGATTACACATTTCATTCGGATCCTTTTTATGTTGATTATGGGCTGATTTTCCCTGCATTTTAGACCCTGTGTAGCTGAGCCTTTTTCTGTGAGATTGTTCATGTGTTTGATATAAAAGAAAGTAGAGTTATAACTTTGCTGTTTTGCAGAATCATCTAATATTGAAGCTGGCATTTACATTTACATGCCTTTCTCTAAGGATTTCAGTGTCTGTGTGTTTCTGTAAGCTTTGAGACTATTTAATCTTTTAATCTGTTTTTTATTGTAAAACATTTAGAATATTTGCAGATGTGAACACCCTTAAATTAAAGGAGTGGTATTAATATTAATGTTATAATTTTAGACTTAGAGACAATTCTTCAATAGTCATAAACCACCCAGTTTTTTAAAGATGTCACAAATTTTATTTGTATCTGCTTTTCGTTAATGACTTCTGTTTTGGGTACACTCCATTTCCCACGCACCTTTCCCAATACATCCGTGTAGTGACCAACTCAGGCTCAGTAATGACTTCTCAGATCATAGGAAGTCATACCTCAGGGTTGAAGGAAGGTGGGCTTTCTGAACCAACATGGACCATACATGTAATCCTGTGGTGGTGGGAAACAAATAAATAGACCTAAGAAATGTATGAGACTAACCATGGTAGTGGCCAATTACCTGACTCGCATTTGCTTCAATCTGTGCTCTAGTCCTTTATAAGCCTACTACATACTCAGTAGTACTATTGAGGGTGAACACCTGTATTCTAGAAAGCAAGTCTCATACCCATTCATTTGTGTTTACTATAAGTCTATTGCTAGTACCTACTCTGTTTTACTGAAATTAATCTTTAATGTGCAGTGAAGTAGTTTTAACATTAAATAGTTAAAACTATTCACCAATGCAAAGTAATATACAGTGGAGAGATAGACATTGTGTCTATTGTCTAATATCATGCATTCTAACATGGGCAGCTTTGTTCACAAAAACATAGGAAAAGACGTCCTAATAAGCAAAGTCTTGTTTGAAATGATATTATAAACAGCAGAATTGAAGGTGTAAATAGTTCCAAGTCTGTATTTCTTTTTTTTTTTTTCCTGATTAAATCTGTGTTTTTTGTCTCTGAAAGGTACTTATACAAAGTGTTCTCTAATTATCACTGCTTATAATTGCATTAATGGCATGATTTTTAACGGGAAAAATCCTGTTTTGAGGAGGCTATAAGTACTATTGTTCATTATGTCCTGTTGCTCATAGCACTTCTCTCAGTTGACTTCTTGTAAAAATTAAGAAGCCTTATAGAACCCCCCAACCTTGTAACTAATTTATGACAGGTTATGTTATTTGATAGAAATGAGGAGATTATAGTCCTTTTGTACTCTTTCTTTAGAGAATAGACTGGGCGGTAGCTTTAAATAGAAAGGAGAAGTCAAGATTGTTTTGGGAGCTAGTCTAGAGCTGAAAGCTATTTGGTTTTAACAGGTGGAAGACTTACGAACTCCCACAGTGTTAGCTTGTGTTCATGTATCAAAGTATTTATTCTACCTTGCCCATTAGACTATAATATTGGTCCTGTAAATGATTCTTCCTGAGTTAATCTTAGAGAGCAAAGTTGCCTTCTTAACAGACATTCTCTTTGTATCCATATTTTTATTTTGAGAATTTTACACAAACCATTGTATGCCCCATCATGACATTTTCTACCCTGGCATTGAAGCACATTGGCTGGATCCATTACCTCCTTGACAAGATGATGGATTTTGCTCTCTCCCACCTGTGTATCCAGGTGTCCCAGCTCGCTGTTCTGTTCCCTACAGTGAGTCCTGATGGTGACTGTGATGCTGCCAAGGCAAGATGAGTCAAATCTTGCCTATGACCCATCTTCCCATTCCAAGGCTTTGGAATGGAGCTAAAAACATGCTTGTGTACTGTTCTTTGTTGCCCTTTCCTCAGAGTTCTCACTTACATCTGAGGAAACACAATAAAAACAGGTCCAAACAAGCTGTTTTACCATCTTCATATTTTAAGGTATGACACGCTTTGACTCTATAGATTTCATTCCCCATGCCCCTAGGACCTTTGTAAGTTGTTACTTTGTTTTTGATATTGAGATGTCTATTCAATATCCAGGAAAAGTATAAGGTTCTTCCAAAATCCTGAAATAACCTAAATGAGATATAAAACCTAACTCTCACTTTCTCTAGCTCTTCCTCTTGCTTGATATTTTTCTCTCAGAAATCTTTGCAGACTGACTTTTCAGAATCAGATTTGTCTAAACAGTTCTGTCTTCAAAACATCATTGAATCTGAACATCACACTCCAGTGATACCCAAATCTTAGTTCTATTCCCCTTTATGCAAATCTTTTCTAAACTGCTATTCCAATCACAGTCCTTTGTTAATTCAGTAAGAATTTATTTCAACCTAACTTTATTAATCATCTGTTTGGATTTGGCACAACGCTAGCTATGCCTTTAAAATCATCACTATGTCTTTAACAACCAGGAGGACTGGTAGGTAAAAAAGATTAATTACAAGTAAAAGAACTATAGAGCTCAAAATAGGGGTACATTATCAAATACTGAATGCTGTGAATATTATATATTCCTTAGAAAGGTAAGTACTATACTTTCTTTATCTCTTCCTATTGATAAATTGCCCATCATGACTAGTCTTGTAGCTACTGTGCACTATGGAGGTGATGCTTATTTCTGTATGTACTGATAGGCTGTTAACCATTCACATACTCCGTGTTCAATTTTGTTAAACATTTTTTTTCACCTTCCATCAATGTTGTCTGCCTAAGGTAATAAAATTTTATGGTGTCTGGCTTTGTAAGCTTTACTAACTGTACAATTAGCTCAGTGGCTGCTATAAATTATAGATCATATTATATAACTAACAAAAAAGTTATAAATGTTTTATATTTTATTGACTAAATGAAGAATGCTGGATTGCCAAGTTTTCATTACAAGTGCAGTCTATATTTTTATACTTATTATAAACTTTCAGTGTCATTAACTTCAAGAATAGTAGTTCCCCTGCAGTGCCGTTTTCCATTATGCAACTTAATAAGGTAGAGCTGTAATATTGGCTACCATTCAGATGGTGACAGGTGGCAGAGAAAGCACACAATGGAATTTTCCATCTGTTCTCTACTTTCTATCCAAGGCAAAAAGGGCAGAGTGCATTTTGTTATGCTCTTCAAACACTTTTTTCCATCTAAACACCATTTTAAAAATAAGTTTGTACTTTAGCTTACAGGAGACTTACAAATCTCGAAGGTTGGAACCACGTGGTCATCTCTCATCACCTTTATTGAGAAAGCACACTGGTTTATTCCTTATAACAAGCAGAATTCTGGCTGGGCTTTTACATGTAATCTGTGGAAAATATCTCACAGCTTTTAATAAAGGATCTAACTGCTTTAAAAGCAGAATGTATGTATCCACAAATACACATATATGTATATATATAAAATTGGTGTATTTCATACTCATCAACTTATTAGAGGCATTAAGGCCAGCCTCACTTTATTATTAATAATGTTTTTTCAAAGTTTAGATATTGACAGTACTAATTATGGAAGCAAGATTATAATACTGATAAAAAAAAGAACTTGCAATACATAGAGGGCTTCCAGTTTTAAATTTTGTATGCAAGGAAACAGTATTGTGTATTTTGAATGGAAATGTTGAGTTTTGAATTAAAACTTTATGAGTGATTTTTATATGGCCTGTTCTGTGCAATTATAATTAAGAACCATAAAAGAGGCAGAAAATATGTAGTTCTGTGTGGTGATGACCCTCTTCTCAATGAGTACTTTAGAAGTATTTCTGAATGGCAAATAGTGAAGACTACATTTTAATATGGTTAATTGTAAGTGGCTTTACCTGAGTAAATGGGTTCAGTCTAGTAATTCCATTTTTTAAACAACTATTAAATACTTAATATATACAAGCACTGTGCTATGTGCCATATGATGTGTATAGTTAGATATGTCTCTGTCTTTGAAGAGCTTACAGAGTTTCTAGAATGGAGGAATGAATAACAAAATAATGCAAATAAGGAAGAGAATATGAATTGGAATTAAACTATGTCCCAGTGCTTCCCAAACCTGAATGCCTAGAATCATCACCTGGAGAGCTTATTAAAAATGTGGACATGTTGGTTTGTCCTGGCCGTTTTCCTCAGTGGTTAGAGCATCGGCCCATGGACTAGAGAGTTCTGGGTTCTGTTTCCACTAAGCGCATGTACCTCAGTTGCAGTTTGTCCCTAGCCCCCGTTGGAGTCGTGTGGGTGGCGACCAGTCAATGTGTCTCTATCACATTGATGTTTCTCTCCCTCTCTTCCTTCCTTTCTCCCTCCCGCTCTATCTGAAGATAAATGCAAAAAAAAAAAAAAAAAAAAAATGTGGACATGTTGATTTAGTTAGAGGCAACTCTAATTCTAGAGGTTGGGGTTAGGTGGTTAGTTTATTCATTTTTTATTTATTTTTGGTTAATCCTCACCTGAGGATATTTTTCCATTGAATTTTAGATAGAGTTGAAGAGAGGGAGGGAGGAAGAGAGTGAGAAACATCAATGTGCGAGAGACATATTGATTGGTTGTCTTCTGCACAACCCGGATTGAACCTTCAACTCAGGTATGTGCCCTTGACCAGAAATCAAACCTGCAACCCCTTGGTCAGGAGGCCAGTGCTCTAACCACTGAGCCAAACTGGCCAGGGCTGGATAAGGTTAGTTTAAAAGGTGATACACGTGATGCTGAGCAGAGGTCCATACAAAAGGTTTTGAGAGGTCCTGAATGCCCAAGGGTGAGAAGTGAAAAACGTGTATTTGATTTGGTAAGCAATGGGAAGACACTAAAGGTTTTTGAAAATATCAATTTTATATTACAAGAAGAATGCTTTTAGAAGCTTCTTTTAGTGTAGGGAAGGCTAGATTGTGACAGTAAAAATACTATGCTGAAAGACGTGTGAAATAAATATTGGGCAAGTTGAATTCTTAGGGCTTGGTGAGAAGTTGGGTGTGTGGTACCAAGAAAGATTGTGGTATTGTTGACAACAGTTCCTAATGGAATAATAGAGGTGTTGCAATGAGCAGTGGAATAATAGACATAGGTAGTCATTTGATTATGGAGTTTGGCATAGCACATAATTTGATTTTGCATATAAGATTCTAAAAGTCCAGCTGGACAGAGATGTCTACTAGGTACTTGAGATCACAGCTCTGACACTCATAAAAAAGATTTAGATGATCCACATAAGTAGATGATCTTTGAAGAAAACTACAGAAAGAAAAAAATCAAATTAACAACTTGACACTATCTTCATTATGAAGCAAAAGAGATTAATCTAAGAAAATAGAGATATAGTATAGTAGAACCAGCAGGGAAATCACATGGTGGAATAAGCCATGGGATTTAAGAAAGTGGTATAACTGGCAATGTGAAACATTGCAGAGCAATTGAGGAAGGTGAGACCTAGAAAAGTTCAGATTTGTTGTGCTGGAAATTGGTATTAACTAGAGAAAGGATGTTTTTCACTTGATAGCCTAGAACCAACCAAATTACAGTTGGTTAAGGAATGAGTGGATAGTTAGCAAGTGGTAGCAGAGGTATAGAAAGTGTTTGTCTTTTGTTTTATTTTGTTGTGGAAGGCAGATGTAGGATAAGAAATTAATAAAATTCTCATGAGAGAAAATAACTGAGACCTATACCCAAGAAGGCTAGATATAATGATTGTGTGTGTATGGTTAAAGATAGCTTTCCGATGGAATAGAGTACTGGCAAAATAGGAAGCATACGTCTTCCACAGAAATAGCAGTGAGTGGAGAAAGGGAATAAAAATACTCGAAAATGTGGCTAAAATGCAGTAAACATTCTGAGTCTTGACTGACAGTATAGCAGTGTCCTGAATGTATGTGGCAAGGAGAGGATTCTTAGGTAACCCTGATATTTTGAGCTTGATAACTAACTGACAGATGATGCTATTATTTTAAGAGTAAAGAACACAGAAGAGGGATTGTATTGAGGAGAAAGATGACGGTGATTGCATTGGTTGGTGTGGTTTTTCAGGTGCCATACAGGCTCCTATAAGGTATTTCCAGCCCAGCTGGTGTGGCTTAGTGGTTGAGCATCGACCCATGCACCAAGAGGTCATTAGTTTGATTCCTGGTCAGGGCACATTCCCAGGTTGTGGGCCAAATCCCCAGTGGGGGGCATGCAGGAGGCAGCCAATCAATGTTTTCTTCTCTCATTAATGCTTCTGTCTCTCTCTCTCCCTAAAATCAATAAAAATATTTAAAAAATTAAAAAGGTATTTCCAGCAGACAAATGTGTAGCTCAAGGGATCCAACATCCTTGCAGAGACATATTTAACAGCAAAGGGGTGAGAATTGAAGCAGTAGAATAAAATAAAGCAAAACAAATGACAGAGTAGAGGAAAAAGAGAGCGGGAAAAAGTTCAGTAATTCTCCTTCCTTTTGTGACATCCAAGGGGATAAATGGATGAAGGTTAGTCAGAGAAGGAACTGGGAAGGGGGAGGAACAGAGAGAAGAGGAAATCCATAGGATACACAAGGAAACTGAGAGAGGAGAGATCTCAAGGAGAAGACAGTTTTAAATTATGACAGACATCGCTGAAACATTGAGAATAAAGGACAGTTTGAAAATATATACTATCATTGTTTTTTAATTTTATCTGATGCCTTCATGGAAGCTATCTTAATTGAGTAGGAAAAAAAAAAAAGCAAATGAGACTGAAATAGGTCGACGGGTGAATATCAGGCAAAGAATGTAGATGCCAATAAATTTAGACTGTTTTAAAAATTTTAGATTTGGGAAAAATAGAAGGTGACATAAAAAGCAAGATTTCAAAATGTTAAAAAAAATGCATAAATTAATGTTTAGAAGATAGAGAAAAATCTCTAAAACTTGACTACTGCAATCATATCTTCCATCACTATTAAATGTTCCTCCTTGAAAGTGTCATGTACATTTTTACTTATTTGGCAATGCTTTATGAAA